CTGCATCGAACTTATGTGCAGTGTGTTGAGAAGATCAGCAATCCTGCAGAATCCTTCGCCTGGATGAAGTCGTCTGGCCTGAAAAGTGAAACAGAAGGCTTTCTGTTTGCTGCCCAGGACCAGGCACTTCCAACTCGAAACCGCCAATGTGTGTCTTTGCATCAAAATGTAAATATGAAATGTAGATTATGTAATGAATTTAATGAGACTGTCCAACACATTGTCAGACTCGTTGTGAAAACAAGGCATTCCACAGTTTTCTTAAACGACTCAAAGATGTGGGACTTAATCTCAATGTCACCGATGATTGTGTTGATTGCTCTGTGCTGCTGGACGGTACATAAATGAGTAATGGCCAAGCGAAGTACCACATCAAATCAGCCCAAGTAGAGGAGAAGGGACATGTCATATCGGCACAGGCTCTGGTTTTCAAGGTAAGGCTTTCTGAACGACCGCTACATCTTTTTTATGTGCAGTGTGAGTTGTCAACGATTTTGCAACCCTGCAGTCCTTCGCAAGGATGACGTTGACTCCCCTGAGAGGTGAAATAGAAGTGACTTCCCACTCGAAACTGTCAATACTGTTAAACATATTTCAACGCCTTACTGGAGGTATTACGTGTGACATCAGCTAGTTGGTATCTCCCACTGTACATATATACATACTGCTGTATATGTTATGCGTCATGTCAGGAAGGCGATGTGTTGAGAAATAACAGAGTACGATGTTGCAATAAATAACATTTATTTTGCTATTATTCAAACTTCAACAAGTATCACTTAGATCAATGTGAGAAACACTATCACATTCAATGAAACTGGTATGCAACTAGGAATGTAGTCATTGTGATGAACATGGACGTCCTTCACACACACATAACAAACGGTCATATGGTTGCAACAAAAGACACTAGGACATGGTCGCAAAGCATTTTCTTCAAACGCCAAGGCGCTGTATCTCACCTGCATGTTTGATCTTTTATAACTTTAAAAATCAATCATTTGTAAGAGAGATTTATCAAGTTAATATCTAAAGCTTCATAGCACCATTGTTCAAAAGGAGAATTTGTGGCTCTTGAATTACACTGAATGCTTTCAGTGAACTGGATGTTCTACAATAGCCAAACTTACAGTATATGTTTGCTGACAGAAACGCACATCAGGCGAAGTAAAGTGAATGCTTTCAGTGAACTGGATGTTCTATAATAGCCAAACTTACAGTATATGTTTGCTGACATACACGTACATCAGGTGAAGTACTCTGAATGCATTCAGTAACTGGATGTTACACAATAGCCAACTTTACAACATATGTTTGCTGACAAACGTACAACAGGCGAAGCACACTGAATGTTTTCAGTGAACTGGGTGTTCTTTAAAAGTCAAACTTACAACATATGTTTGCTGACATAAACGTAGATCAGGTTAAGTACACAAAATGCTTTCAGTGAACTGGATGTCCTATACACATTTAGCCAAACTTACAACATATGTTTGCTGACAGAAACGCACATCAGGCGAAGTAAAGTGAATGCTTTCAGTGAACTGGATGTTACACAATAGCCAAACTTACAACATATGTTTGCTGACAAACGTACATCAGGTGAAGTACTCTGAATGCATTCAGTGAACTGGATGTTACACAATAGCCAACTTTACAACATATGTTTGCTGACATAAACGTACATCAGGTACATGCACGTGTACCTGACCAGCTGGCCAGCATTATGGCAAGATTACGACAGTGGCAAGATTAGCATTTACAAATATAGTTGCAAAAGCTTACCCTTTACCAATCATGTTGGGTTTCTATAGCACATATGTCTTAGACCCAGGCCGCTACCAAGGTTACCAACCTTAATGTTGAAAATATAACCCTGCAATACAAGGAACGGATTGATTCTGAGATACGTGACACCGTAGGGGCTTGTAGCGGCCTTGGTAAAATCGCGTCATATGCTGGCAAATGTACATGCCATCACTGCTAGGGTCTTGTATACATAATATCAACTTGTCAATCCTAAAGGTTTACAATTGTCTTGTCTTTGCATGTGTTTGTGATGGGTGCCACATTTGGGCAGGATGCGCTCACTCTTTGGAAAACACCTGGAATTATCACTATTTGATAGTGATTCAACAATATATGCTTGTGATATCGTACAATGGAAACTGATTTTAGAAGAGATGCCTTGTGATTATGGAAATGGTTCTGTCGCTTTTATTCAGTAGTAAGGTTGCATGCAATCAGATATAACTGGATTCTAGGTCAAAGGTAACACAATCAAGGTAATGCTTTCTACTGACACATACAAACTCCATGTCCAGTTATACATAAATGCATCGATGGAAATTATTTTCATTAAAACTCAAATATGGTTGCGGATGCGGAGATGAAATTATTATAGCAAGGTTGAATGTTTGTTGTTTGACACCATGAGCATCGACCTACGCAATTGGGAAAGGATGACATTCATCAACCAACTCAGCGAACCTGACCACCCGATCCCATTAGTCGCCCCTTTCGACAAGCATGGGTTGCTGAAGGCCCATTCTAATCCGGAATCTTCACGGCACTCAAGGTTGAAAAACAGAATCGTTCAGATTCATAAAACAATGGTTCTTAGTGGGGTTGATGGGGGTACATGAAGGTACATGAAGCAAACCACTGTACTAAACATACAGAGTATCGACCCCAAATAACATAGAACATGTAACCATCGTGATGAGAATTGAACTGAAATTCTTTGAGCAGTTTTGGATTATGACATTGCCGTATTCATACATCATGAGGTTTCAGAAAATGTGTTGAAAATGAAATAGTAAGCTATTACTCAATCTTGAGACCTTTCGTTGACTTAATATAACATATATCAGAGAGTGGTGAGTCTGGCATATCTAACGTGATGTTATACCTACATGTGACACATACTCTTCACTTGAGTCATCACTTAATTTGAGTGATTCACTCATATCAGTATTATTATATTGAGTGAGTGAGTATGGTTTTACGCCGCTTTCAGCAATATTCCAGCAATATCACGGCGGGGGACACCAGAAATGGGCTTCACACATTGTACCCATGTCGGGAATCGAACCCGGGTCTTCGGCGTGACGAGCGAACTCTTTAACCACTAGGCTACCCGACCGACCTCATTATTATAAAATTCATACAATTTAACCCCTTATTTCTTTTTAGCTTCTGTCGGAATCTGTTTCGACAGATAATCGAAAACAGTTCTTCTCTGACGTTTTGTATTCACAATGTGGCGTGCTTCGGTCCACTGACTTCAACTCTGCGGTACCCCACACCGTAGCACTGAGCATTAAGCAGTCACCATTTCCTATCCTGGAGGGTCAATCATCAGTTTGTAAAAAGTGGTCAGATTTAACGAGGACCAATAATTGGTGTCTGCTGTGCACGCCAGGTTGACAGACCAGAATTTGACCTTCTACGAAACAGGGATAACTAATCTGGAGAAAAGATGAAACAAGTGCATTGAACTGAAAGAGGACTATGTTGAAAATAATTAAAGCTCACGACAATATTCAGTTCTATGTATGCCAGGATCAAACCCATCGACACCCCGCCAGGGTACTCGTTTACAGAATACGCCTGCCTCTTACAGTACACATATTACTTTTTCTTGAGTTTCATTCTGAAAATGACAATCACTGGTGAACAGAATACATTGTACAAGTGGGAATTACTGTGTTTTCTGTCGCACAATATTGAAAGTGCACAGTCCTCGCTGATAAATTCTATGGGACGTGTATAAGATTACGTATATGCTCTTATATGTTTATCATATGTTCCAGTGATTATTTTCATGTGAACAATTTACTTGCCTTTGCATGCGTTTGTGGAATTACCACTGGCGGGGTCTCATCACTAGATTCATTAACATATGCTCATGAAATAGTCGTAGTTGTACAATGGACTCCGCTTTTAGCAGATATTTCTAATGAAAGGGTTTTGTCACTTGTATTGATATACTCCAAGAACCCTTAGTAGAATCACATTTACGTCATTCAACAACATAAATAATATACAATAGGACAGAATGCTCGTTTTGCGAAAATAAATGTCTCATCACGATATGAGATAGCTTGAGATACATAATTACATCCTTGTATCTCCATCTCATCAATGATTGAGCAAGTGACCTTGTCCAGAAGGAGGTTGTATATCCTCAACAAGCGATGGCGTGAACCGCGATTCTAAACACAAAAGCCCACCGAGTAATCACTGCAAAACAACAGCATTATCACATCTTTCCATCAACAGGTTAGAATGATCGCGATCACGGGGTAACGCAAAGCAAAGTTTTTTAACGAATGTCAAATTCTGCACATTTCATCTTTAAGTTGGTTCACACTGATACCCCCATTCAAGTCTGTGTATGTTATTAAAAAAAACAACATTCGAGCATACAGTTCCCCAGGCATTATCGCATGTATCAATAATCCATGGCCAGCCACGGCAACAATGTAAATATTGCAGTGTTAAACACTATGGTTTCTCGATGTAATGAGCACAAACAAACAATATCACCATTGTCATGAACAAATCTTCAATGGGGCAAAACAGTTATATAATCGAGTTAGTTCATTTCTTACACAACAAACACCAATATCAACACTGCGTGTATACTGAATTGTCGGGCAATAGAGAGCATACGCCCATGTTTGATTCTGGCCACAGAACGAGGTGAGGTGAAACTGGGTTTAACGTCGCGTCCAAGATTATTGCACTTACATGGCGACGTGCATGCACGTGTGTGCCTGCTTGTACTAATCTGGACTGATGCCGATTTATAGTGCTAGCCACTGAGATACCATGCCGCAGTTGAACATGAAGACCCCAATCAGACACAATAAACTGACTCCGAGCCGACCAGTCCCTGTTTGTCCTTGTTTTAGCCCCTTAATGTCGAGCGCCAGACAGGGTAACAACAAGTACCATATTGATATGACGCGGGGATCGAACCCCGGACCTTCCGCTCTCCGGGCGGACGCTCTACCTCTAGACCACGGAGGCGGTCGGCTACAAAACAAACAAAAGATGGATAAATATACACAGTCAAGCTGTCAGCCTCCCGGCCTTCATCAGACACACTCTGTTGGCTTCGTAATACATCATTCGAGATCATTTTTCAACCTAAAAGTGTTAAAAGGGATTGAAAAAGGATCACGAATGATGTGTTACGAAACCAACAGTGCGCCTGATGAAGGACGGGGCTATGTTGATGTATGTATATATTTGAATTCCCCTAGGGAATAAAAACAAAAGAAGAATCAAGAAATGGTTACTCGATGGTGATGTATTTGATATGGCTATCATGATAGTGTTTAAGACCTTTGATTTGCAGTGTTTCGGCATCTGCTTCACCCTTGTTACATTTGGATAACGTTTGTAATTTTTCAGTAAAAGAATCTACAAGTGATTACCTTCTTTTCCCCGGCAGTTTTGTATCGACAGAAAAAGTGCTGATTAGAGCACGTTCCTTGAACCAAGACAACACATACATCGTATACAAGCCATGCATTTGGTCGACAATTAAAACTGGAAAGGGTCACTGAAAACATTATTTTGAATATTTTGATTCGGATTATTGTAGAGACTCTTCTTATATTTAAGACGATTTATTTTGTTAGGGAAAGAAAAACCGATTTGTCTCCTGAAATCCCTTGCACCTGTGGTTTTAATTCATGTTAGCCATGTGTGTTGACAAAAATAGATGTGTAAAATGTGTAAAATAGTTTCCGATTGACCTGATTAGTATTGACCGTTACATGTTCTTGCATACTGTTCCTCAAGGCTGTTGTGTGATCATTCACTTGCTGAAATGTATCAGGCACACGGTGTCAAAGTTAACTCGAAATCCAGATCCACAAAAAAGATCTTCAATTCTTCAAGAAGATGTTCTTGAAAGAAGGTCGTGTGATCACCTTGATCGCTACATATAGACAGTACCTTAATATATGACATCTCACGACTGGTATTGTTTGTTTAATTTGAAAGTGTACCCCAGGATTGTAGACCGATGTTCCTTCAGTCATCGGTTTGCTTATTCCGTTGAGCAGCTACGTCGCTCCCCGACACATTCACCTATGCGTCTGACGTGTGAAGGATGTGAGTTGTTCGTTAATGACCGCCGTGAACTGGTATTATGAATTGTAGGGTGATTGTGAGTTGAAGGAATGTAGCTCCGTTTGGCGTCGTCAATCCCAGTCCGACAGCACAATGAAATACAGTTCCTGAACCTCGGAGCATAGATAGCGTAAATTAGAGGGTTCATCACAGTCGAGGTTTTGGCAAGCGCCCCCGCTAGCACCACGCCGATCGGCGTCACAAGGGACGGGCATCCAAACATGTTTATAAGAGCAAGTATTGCATACGGGGCCCACGACAAACAGAAGAAGAAAATAATGAAAAGAACCAGTCGTGCAACCTTGAGTTCGAGCATTCTCCTGGATACAGTGCGTCGCTCTCTGCCGTTGGTCAGTATGACCTTCATCTTGCTCAGCTTCCTGTCGTGGAAATATATCGTGGCAAAGATGGACGAGTAGCAAAGGACGATTATCAGAAACTGCAGTGTGAAGCAGAACACGTAAATTCCGATGATGAAAGACACGTTGTTCGTGTCTTTTGACTCGAAGTCAAAGGAACACACAGTGGGTCCATAGCGAACATACCGCCCCCACCCCACCAAGGGCAGGGCTGCCCAGACGCCGGAGTATAGCCAGATGCCGACCACCGTTAAAACCATGGAACTCCTGGACGACCTTCCTGTTATTGGTTTTGTTCTCTTTATGACACTGCAGCGGTCGACGGCCATGGCGGCGAGGGTGTTGATCGAGATGTAGCCGGCGAGGGAAGCCACGAAGCCGGTCACCTGACAAGCTGAAACAGAAGATACAGGTGTAACATGATACCATATTGCAAATCACAATGGATCCATCTTGTATTAACGCTTGACGGTGTTCTGGATCCAATTTGATCGATTGAACAGATAACCGATTTTCGTATCTTATCTATTGTATGCTCATAGTATTATGTACTAGTGTGTCATCAACACGTGCCATCTGGAATACGGTTTCTGGAAGTTATTCCACTCATAAAACATAATAATGTAACAATTCTAGGTGGTGTCGTTCCTTCAGTGTCTAATCGAACCCGGGTCTTCATTGTGAGTAGAGAACGCTTTAATTGCTTGGCTACCCTATCTCATCTTTAGGTACTATTAAATTTTTTGTTGGTATATATTATGATATGGTATATATTAGTGAGTGTAAAGGTAGTTCATATGAATTATTTTCTACAACAAAGTAAAATAATTCAAATGAAACAATTTCCATAATCATGAAGAATTACCGTTGAACAGAGTCCATTGTACGATTCCGACCATATTATGAGCATGTGTTTATGAATCACTATCAAATAGTCTTAATACCAGGTGTTAGAACATAATTCAAACGCACCGTCAGTTTAGTTCTAAGATTTTCTATCATATTCATTGCCTGAAAGTCGGCCTGTGATGGGCCAATTTTCATTCCCAACGTATATCGAGTGACACTTTTGCATAGTTAAATAGAAATCTTAATCAAATGTTTCTAACTTGTAAGAAGGACAGATGTATTTACGTTTTTGTTTCTTGCATCAGTACCACACCCTAATCTGTCACACTTTGAAAACACACATTGAACTTTTGAAAAATATTCAGTTGTATATTCCTTGTCTGTGCTCCAGAAGGAAATGAGATACAGTAAACTAGGGTTATAACGAACTCAAAGGGACCACTAATTTTAGTTCGTTATAACCATAGTTCATTATAAGCATACACAGCATATATACAGCCAATGGGCCGGACCGAAAAGCAATTCGTTATATCCATCAGTTCGTTATAAGAGTGTTCTTTATAAACGTAGTTTACTGTATCCTCGGGCAATGTTAAAATCACCACAACCCATCTCACACGATAACCTTACATGCATATCAGACACTTTACTCAATGAAAGGAAAACATTTGGATGTATAAAAGGCTATAGATATACATAATGGAAAGTCCATGTACACTTCGCAAACACATCAGACTGTACATGTTGCCGGATGGTAAGAACGTCGTGGGTCATCAGAAGATTTTCAATAGTTAAGCCGTCACCATCAAACTGACCGCCTCCATGGTCTAGTGGTAGAGCGTCCGCCCGGAGAGCGGAAGGTCCGGGGTTCGATCCCAGGCCATGTGATACCAAAAGACGTGAAAAGATGGTATTTTGCAACGCCTCCGTGGACGGTTCCAATCAACGGTTATGTTCATTGTCAGCAGCACAATCAATTGGGCGTCATTGGAAGAAGCCACAATCACAGACACCCAACATACGAGAGGTATTGGATTGCGGTGCCGGCGTCCCTACCTGGAAACGTCAAGCCACAGTGGCACAATGCTGCCGTGACTTTTGTGAATGGTTTATCATGCTTCCCAACTGTGTCTTGAGGCCAGTTATCAAGCCACTGCAACGTTTTCAGCACCCTCAATGTCCCTCATTTCCAGCTTGTTAACCCCCGTCCATATGCTGATGGAGATATTCAAACATGCCAACAAGGAGTTATCAAGCCATCATCTGGACGCCTGGGTCAGCTAATCGCAGACCCATGGTGCTCATTTATGATGAATTCGACGACGTTTACGTCAGCCTCAACGTCAAGACCTCATAACGTCGAGACATTGACCTTGGGTCTGCATGTGGAGTGGAGAAATATCCCACGTGTCTGTGACCCATTGGTCGTCTCAATACATACATAATTCAATCTCTTTTTACAATGCATTCAACATTACATTTTTGATGTCAGCATTAGTCATCAAATATGTAAAAAAATTCGGCCACTGAATGCTTTATTTATCTAGTTATGAATCCAATATAAGTAAAATCCCGGGAAGAAATACACTTCATTTACTGACAGACCTTATTTGTATGCCACAAAATTAACTTTGAAACGCTTAAGAATTTCGCTTCAACTTTACTTAATCACTCACGAAACATCGTGGTGCTTCTTTCTCCATGAAAGCTACCGAAATTAAACCGATTTGACTGATGGTGTACATACACTATAAAGGGATATGCCTGTCGTTGATAGCGGGAGGCAATGGTTCAAACACTCGACGTGAAGGCTACATCCATGACATAAATACTTTTATCTTTGCATCGCGTCTTCAGTTTTGGCAGATATATGACTATACCTACGTCGACGGGACAAGATCTGTGTTACAAAGTGCATACCGATATACAAGCAGATGTCATCCTTCTGTTGTCTCATTAATCATTGATATAAAGCTCGTAGGATGTGCCCGGCTTTAAGCGTTCCGGCTCGGGTTATGGTGTAGATTTGTGAAAGGATACTTACACACTGGTGGCAAGGGCCATGCTCCGGTGATGTTTGCCGTGGAGAATATGGGGAAGTTCACAAGACACATCAGAAGATCTGTGCACGCCATGCTGAAGACAAACGTGTTGGCAGCCGATCGGAGGATCCTGTACCTGCAACAGTAGCCATAAACACATCAGTACACGTGGAGGCCAAGGAGGCAAATAGCATTGGATAACTACACAAGTGAAGGACATATATAACGTCTAGGCCAATCTCAAGTATCCGGCGAAACGGATTCCATATGGCGTCACTGTCACACCGCTAACTACGAACTGATTCTGTTCATGACGTCAGTGTGGGCTATGTAATAACGCAATCAGGAAAACAGAGGTCTCACGTAAGCGGTAACATTTCTTGCCATTTTGCACTTTCCCGAGGCAAGGGCATTAGCTGACTATAACAGTCCAGTTTCCACCCTTGCCGATCTAGGCTGGAATTCCGTAGTTTATGTCATTTATGTCTGTGCATAGTCCAATCACAATCGCGTAACGAACAAGACATCCGGTTCGTAAACAACATGGTTTCCACATGCAGATTTCAGTCAACTGCATGATTTGCAAAGCATATGTACTGTCAACTGGGCGTTGACAGATATTTTGAAAATCGTGACATTCTATTAATCAAGGTGCTCAAGTGGTGGATGCATTTCGCGGGGTAAGACCCATTTTATAACAAGATAGATCTCGATAATCAATCAGATCGTCTTGACTTGAGCCGCCATTTTGTTTAAAGCAAATGCAAGTGATATGATAGGTGGAATCTGATTGGTCAATAGGAGGGACATATAAGGGACATAACTCGTAATAGCCACTGGTGACGCTACGATCGAGCCTGGAAATACCTGCCTAGTTCGAAAAGGATGGAAACTTGACTTTTATAGTTAGTGAACGCCATTGTCTCGGGAAGATGGATATTTTGTTATGGTTATTTATATATGTGACATTGATACTAAACGTACCGACACCACCTAGTATGTTACCTATTTCTCCGGTCCATGCCTTAGTGACGTGATCACAGGAAATGTTTAATGAAAAAAGAAACCGTTTATACAGTCAGTCAATACACTGATTATCCCAAACATAGCCTAATCCAAATCTCAATAACTTACCTTTCAATTTTGATGCCCAAATAACTTACCCATGTTTTATAGCCAACATTAACATGTAACATTTCTTCGGCAGATTTGACAGCAATTTATATCAATATTTTAGGCAAGGCTTGTAACCATGAAAGAATAATGGATATTCACCACGAACGATTCGATTCGAGGTTGACAAGGTAAATTTTTTCAGTTAAAACTATTAAAACATATGATATAGTCTTACAAAGTATATCATTACACAAAATGGTCATACGTGATTTCATTGTTATTTACAAATCAGCAATCAACTGCATATCGAAATCCCGGCTTCAGGCCGTGCTGTAGCACTGAGGTCATAGTGAAGAGTGCTGTCCATTCCCCGTTGATCTACTACATTAATCTACATGACAAAGAAGTGCTTTCCCATTATTCTCGGCGTATTGAAGACGCAAGATGGGGTAGTGTGTTGCGTGGGGGTATACTCGTTCTTCAACCAAAAGTACCACGTGTCATTTTTTCAGATTACAAGCGTAGAGATCGATTCTCATGTAACATGTGGACTGCGTATGCTCCACTAACTATTGTCTTATTTCTTTGTATATATGTCTCTCTTGTCAACTTCTTTATATATATATAAAGTCAGCCAATTTTGCCGAAAAACGTGAAATGATAAGCGGCATGCCTTTCCGCCCATATAAAGACATGTTTTTTTTAAATCGATCGGGCATATTTCTAAACGACACTCGTATAGCTCTACATATTCACTGTTTGACAATTGGGGTTACCCACCACGTATCCCCATCAGGAGCCAGATTAGGTGCATATCTGACCCCACCACGAACAAACCTGACAGCCCCATGGTGTGCTTCATTAACAGCAGATGCATCACGTTTACCTCATACAGATGCGCCGTAACTAAGGACAGGCCACACCATAGTGTCAAATAGCTTAGTAAAGGTGCTTAAATGCATACGTCCGATTTTCTTTAATTTTGATAAGTCGGCCTAAAGTTCTTTCAGCTGATTTGGCCGCAGCATTTTCCGTTGTATTGCTTAGTCAACAACAAACCCAGTTAGCTTGAACAGGTATCAATACTCAAGCCGAACTACCAACAACAAATTGTTCTGTGGTTCTCGGGATCCAAGGATTTCTAACCTGAACAACCTTAGACATATCAACGTTAATAGCAGTAGCATTAATTTCACACCAGTTGTTAAATATTCGTAGCAATTTGTTCAAGTCATCTTCAGATTCAAGTAAAATAATATCATCAGCATACGCTAAAGGGGGAATAATAGTACCATCAATATTAACGCCAATTTTAGAATCGATCCTAACATCCAACAAGTCATTGATGAAAGATTAAACATGATAGGGGACAATAAACATCTTTGATTCAAGCTACGTTTACCATCAAACCAGGCATATCGTTTACTCGCACACTACATTTAACATTGTGATAAGGTGGCTGAAGCGTTACTATCATGTTCCCATTGACACCAACATCGTGTTTATGCAATAGTAGACTTCTGTTGACACAACCATAGGCAGGGACAGCTGAGTCTATATATGCACCGATGGATCAAAGAATCATATCATCAACATTGCTGGTTACGGGATCCATATCCATGGTTCCAAACCCCAAGCACATTCGGTTCGCCTGTCTGACGGTCAGCAGTATTCAATGCTGAATTGGAGGCAATTCATCACGCACTCAAACTCAAAGCGCAACTACCGGAAGCAAAAGGCAGTCATCTTATCAGACTCGCTCCGTGCACTTACAAGCCATCAGCGGCAGAAACCCAAACTTTCAACCAAACACAGTCAATAATATTCCGTACGAATATACAAATTCATTACAAAACTATCGGAGCAAGGACAATAGGTGACGCTATGTTGGATCCCGTCTCATTCAAGGAAATGATAACAATACAGACACACTGGCAAAGCGGAGATATAGCCTGTTCCCTTCAGCAAACAACAGATAAAAATCAATATCAAAGCCCCCATAGCCACAAAATGGCAAGTCCAATGGCACTCAATTACGATCGGCAGATGGCTATACAAAAATCCACCCGAAATCCACCAAAAGCCATACTCATACTCCAATACAAGGCCCCAGACTCGGTCACAAAAAGCACTATGACAAGGTATGCCCATCTTGCAATCAACCTGAATCCATTGCTCACTTGTTACTGGAATGTCAAGACCATGCACCAGCCCATGCTCAGTTAAAACAAGAATTCCAGTCAGATGTGCAATCTCTCGTAGATCTCCTAAAAGGAAGAGATGCAATAGCGAAGGCCGAACTAACTCTATTCCTGAAAGATGGTCAGCTATCGAACGTATATAAACAGAGCAGTCGAAGAATTTTGATCAATTTCTTAAAGTCAAAAATCAAATTATATTAATATGAAATCAGAAATCCCATCAATATTAAAGCTCCCAATAAGGTCCCAAAGAGGGACAGGTCAGCCGAAATAGCTGTGGCAGAAGGCGACCTCTCAAGCACTTAAAGCCCCAACAATCACAACATAAGCCACAATAGACTCGGAGAGATACCGCTGGATACCAGTTGTACTGCCACATTGGTGCCTCGCCAAAGTTCAAAGGCCGGAGTTGCTGTTCAGCTTTGAAGACAGAAGCTGGTGACGTAACAGATGGTTTGAGCCGATGTCCGTGACATTGAGTTTGGCTTTGTGACAAGTGAACACCTGTTAGATTTAATGCTCTTTGTGTATCTAGATCAGGACAGTTTCATTTTCTTACTGACCACTTATATTTTCTTATCAAAGTAGCCCTTTAGATTTTGTCTTATTTCTTGTTCCAGATAAAATTGTAAACTATTTTGTAAAGTGAAAAGACAGAGTCCTCAGGACGGTTTGGTAGTATCGAAAATATGCGAACTTGAACTTTTTGATAATGCTAAAGTTGTTATGACTACTTTTTTCCTATTAAGGTTATATTTCTTTTTCTCCAATTTGCAAGCAATGTTTTTGTTTCTTCTAGTTTTCTTTTTATATTGATTACTCAGAGTTCACTTAAGATTGGATTAAACATAATTCCTAATACTTCAAATTCCTTATTGTGCCATTCTGTTTGTAAATCTTGACATAATCGATCATTGCTACCCGCTTTTGATCATATCCATATTGCTTTTGTCTTGTCTACATTAATTTGTAAGCCAGACATTTTGCAGAACTTATAAAGTGTTTCTACAGCCACATATAAGCTTTCACCTTTACCATTTAAAACTAGGTCAGTATCATCAGCGTACTGCCAAGCCCAAGTTTGTATTCTTTGTTATTAACAATAACATTCCAAAATGTGAAAGACTTTGTCCATTTTGTATCATTCCAAATGTAGAAACATAATACCATGTTGCAATCAATAATCTTGCCAAGTTTACATTCTTTGCTCTTAAAATGAGGAGCAAGCAGTTGTCCATTATATAAGCTATTAACTCTACCATCATATGTTTATGGTCTCAGATACCCTTGTACTGATTAGTATTGATATTACTACATGCACTTGTGGCGCAACATGTTTGAATGCTTGAATATATATTGTAAAATGGGCCTGTGGCCTGATTTACTGAAATAAACCACTACTACTACCACTACTATTAACAATAATCCCTTTAATTTTATTAATAATAATATAATATAATAATATAGGGGGCACGGGTGGCCCAGTCGACTAAGGCGCCGCGATTCGCTGGGCAAAGTTGTGTCCCTTGGGCACGCCAGAAACCTATGATTGTGGGTTCGAATCCCGTTTCGCCCCGATTATGTTTCTGGGTTTGTCAGCACCATACCCGCGCTCGTTGGTTTCACCGAAGTGGTAAACGTCTGAGACCTGCATCACTTCGGGCTTTCCTCCCACTTAAAGCTGACACGCCGCGATATAACTGGAATACTGTGAAAAGCGGCGTTAAACCCAACTCACTCACTCTAATAATACAACCTAGGATTGCAGCTACTATAGGAGGAAAATATATGGCGACAATAGGTCTCCTTGTTGACATCT